GTTGCTCTGAGTATTAGCTTTCAAGTTGTAGCTGCACACACATTTATAGTGTGCCTCAGAGTCAGATTACATGACCTGTTTAGTTAACTCTAGAGTTGCCAGTTTAAGCACAAGACACATGCAGACACTGACTAATGTTTTTTGATGAGTGTACAAGCAGCAGAACTTTATTTTCAGAATTTGCAATTCAACTCTCCAATTAATTTTTTGTTCCAATAAAACTTCATCATCTTTATATACAAAGCAAAAGGTTTCTGTGGTCTTAAGAGTTACTTAATCCATCTAGATATAAGTTTAAAGTAAAAATTGAGACTAGATAGTACTGACCTAAAAATAAATCTTAAAACACTTTATCTGGAAAGAAAACAATTGTCCACATTGCTCCAGTGTCAAGGAAACCATTAAAAAAAGTGTTCAAATTGATCCTATATACACATAAAATGAAAGATGAGAAGGAAAGAAGCAATTTCTAAACCAATAGTAAATAAGCTAATTAAATTTCCTCTCCTACCCAAAAAAAGTATATAGGAATCAGCCAGATGCAATAGCTCGTGCCTGTAATTCCAGCTACTTTTGGGAAGATCACTTGAGCCCAGGAATTCGAGGCTGCAGTGAGCTATAATCGCACCACTGCACCCTAGCCTGGGCAACAGAGTGAGACCCCGTCTCTAAAAACAAACAAACGACAACAACAACAACAACAAAAAAAAACAAAGAAAAAGAAAAGAAAGTTTAGGAATCAGCAAGATCCTCACCCTTTGTCAAACTTTGCAAAATTAAATATTCCGCTCCCAACTGTATAACTGCCTGGAAAACTCCACCAAAATTTTCTTTTCTTTCTTAGCCCACCAAGTGTTGTTCTTAACTACCAATATTTTCAATCTTACCACAGTTATGTTTAGAGCTTTATTAAAAATTGAAATATACATTTTAAACATTTGAAACTTAACATATCAGCTGTAAGGAGGAAAAAAGACTAACATTTATAATAGTTTGAAAAGTATTTTCACATACAGCTCATACATTCCTTTGAAGAAGGTATCGGAATTTTCATTTAACGAGGAAAGAAACTATGGCTTAGAGAGAGGGTAGATGATATGCCCAAAGTCAGCTACAAGGGGATAAATCTGGAACTAGAACCCCAAGCTCTTAGTTTACCAAACACATTTTCATTCACTTCTTTAACTGAAGGATCAGGTTAACAGATCACCTTATTATTGAATCCCAATGTAATACTATATCTGATCTACTATTTTTAAGACAAAAGGAAATAGAGCTGACATACCATCACTGAGCATGTATCACAAAACCAAATGAAGCTATAACATTTTAATAAGCAGCAAAAAATGCTAATTACTTTGCAGCCACTACACAGTTGAGTGTAATTTCCAATGTTTAAAAATTTTTAAATACGTATTTAACCAAAAGAAATTTCTTAAACTGAGCTAATTTGGAATTTAACATGATTCTTTTTTTTTTTTTTTTGAGACAGAGTCTCACTGTGTTGCCCAGGCTAGAGTGCCGTGGCGTCAGCCTAGCTCACAGCAACCTCAA